TTTTCGGCTTACCGTTTTGTTACCCAGCAATCTTTAATGTTTTATCATTCTTCATTCTATCAGTTTCATCTTTCCCGTGTCCCTCTAAGTAATCTTCGAAATTACTTTCTATTTTATAATAAAAAAATCGAAACTATTTCCTTCTTCTTGTTAGATTTCAAAAAAACATTTCATTTCGAAGCAAGATAAATGCATTCGTTTTATAATCTGAACCAAAGAACAAATTTTATTTTATAATCACTTAGCTAATTATCTTTTTAAAAAAATACTTGGCAGTATAGTATTTAATTTGATGAATAAGATTTTGATTATTGTCATGACTAATGAATGACACGTACTAATTCAATTATTAATTTTTGGTTTATACCTTTTTTCTTCCTTCCTTTTTCTTGGATTCATTAATATACTTCTTATCTATCCAAGGCATTTTCAAATAATCTCTTTCAGGTCTCGGAAATTCAATTTTTGTTCGTGTATCACACCGAAATTCAATCATTTTTATCTCTTATTTCTTTTTAAATCATAATATTAAGTATTCTAACCGTTATATTTTTTCAAAATTTTTTTTAAACCACTTTCTTAATTCTCCAAATTGTTGAAATCTTATATTTTTTCCAAACATTTTAACTTCACGACTTTTAGGAAATAATTTTGTACAGAAAATCTCCAGTTTTCTTTGGATCTATTTTTTAAATGTATTTTTGGTGAGTTATGATCTCGTGTTCCACCAGGTATTTTACTTTACCCTTACAATAGATGGCAATTATTTATCCCCTTTCAAGTTGCAGTCAATATAAAGTTTGATAAATGAGTAAAGCAAAAAAAATTAGTTCGGAAAACTTAAAAGAGCGATTAATGAAAACGGCAAAAACTTGATAAAATGCAAAAAATTATAGCTAAAAGTTTCTCCACCAGGAAAATCTATCAGCATTTTATTTTTTGACGCATTGTTTGCTTACCAGCTTTTTCTTTTTCGAACAGATCATTCAACAATTAGTATTTCTTTATTTGCAATGTTTATTTCAAAGATTTCTGATGAATATTTAATCGATATCGGCGATATTAGCTTCCAGCATCCCTGAACTATCTCATAACAATAAAAAAAGGAATAGTGTGTATGTAGCGTTAATTTCTGATTACCAATACAATTCTACTTTTATTGTCATATCATCACGTTGCTACGACAATCTTTAGTCGCATCGCGTATTTTTTCCCCCGTCATCGTTTTTGAAGCTCATATTGCTACTTTCTCGAATGGCTCCAATATTATTAAATGAAAATTTCAGATTTCGCCAGCTAGATATTACCCATTGTGAAATTAGCTGAAAATAACTTGAATCGTTCAGCAAGGATTTTTCTTTTTTCCAATACGTCAAGCGAAGTTACCTTAAAGAAATTTTTTTAATGGATTATCTCACGATTGAGTATTTAATTGTTTTGAGAGGAAAATACAGCAAAATGTATAGAAATTGTCCTTCAATATGGAATATATCTCAATATATTTAAATTTGACATCAAGTTTGAATTTTTCTGATTTTTTCGTGAGTATTGGGTTTTGCTGGTTTAGGATGATATCCATGATAAGTTTAGAACACCGTTTAATGTTTATTTTAAATAATTTGGTAGATTTCCAGCTGTACATTTTTGCTGTTTCAAACTACCTTTCAAATTTATCATTAAATTTAAAACATCTGCTCTTCTTCTCAACCAGTTACTTTCCACGTTCCATTCATGTAAAAATCAAAAAGTGAGTATTATTTCATTCCGAATTATCATCGGTTTAAACATTTGCAACCATACGTGGTTCGTTTATTATTGTCAAACTGAAGAATCTCTCTTTTCAGCATAATCTTAGCATGTGTATAATTGTATTCCATAATAATACGGTACTTACTATTATGTTAATATTATTTTTGTTGTGATGAATGTAATACATTTGATCCCCCGTTTGTATAGCTGATGGAATATCTTAGACGAACTTTTGAGACGCTGCTATTCAAGTATTACATTTTAAGTGGCACTCATGACTTGTTTCTGTTCTGTTTATTTTTACTGATGTTGGAATTGCATTGTAACAACTTATGTTCAATTATTTTCATGGTCAATTCTTCTAGAAAGATGGATGTACAATCGGAGAAACGCAGTTCCGCATCTGAACCATTAATAGTGACCGATATTAATGGCAGTACAATGACACTGCATTGATTACTTATTTTTATTAGATACCATACATATGTTGTTGTTGTTGTTGTTGTTATTACTAAAAATACCGAAAATCGCGATTCATTGACATCAGTGATATTCATTCAGTTCTTATTCTACTTCTAGATAACAAAGAAAGATTCCTTCAAATTTACAAAAAGTTTGGAAAATGTTCGACTAATTTATTATTTCTATTTTCACCGATCAAAACGAAAAAGAACAATTTCGTCTTTTTATCTCTTCTCTTTTCATTTTTTAACTTGCTTTTTATATTTCGTTTCCTTTTTCATTCATCGCTTCCTTTTTCTTCGTTTCCTTTTCCAATTGTTTGTTTCGTTTTTCACTTTTAATTTCGTTTTTCTTGTTTTTGTTTTTGAAAATCATTTGTCCATCGCCCCCGCCTATTTCTTTTTTCTCCAATATCAATGTGATATTACATTGCTCATCTAAATAACAACTGGTTCTTCTTGCAGCCGCTGGTATAAAGAAAAAGTTGACTAATGCCGCCTCTGATATTAAGCTTACACCAACTGATATGATTCCAACAACTGTCAATATCGTTTCTTGTCAAAAAAGTTACAGGTACAATTGCATATTTGGTTTTACTGATTTCAAATACTAATACTAATATTAGTAGCATATTGATATTTGGCTTTAATAACACAAAGCTGATTTCTTGAAAAAGTTGGTAGGAAAGGAACATCTGTGAGCATAGATATAAATGCCGAAATAATCATTTTCGATAACGGCTGAAAATTTTCAAACAATTATCTTTTGCGTAAGATCTGAACTATTTGGTCCATCGTAATCACAGACATAATTTTGTCTTATATCAATCAAAATACGAGGGGATTTTTATCTTGTATCAATCAAAATATGAGAGAGTTTATAAAAACTCAACAAATTACTTAAACATAGCATCAAAAAACTGGTTCATTAAAAAAAATTTCCGTACTTTTTTGTTTAAATTTAAAGACAACAACTACTGTTTTCTCCCAACATTCCTTATTTACTATCATTTCTAATTACATTTCATCACCAGCAACTGTGACGGCGCATATTATGCGAAGGAACAGTCATCGAAAAGATCAAAATTAATAGTTAGGAGAATTTTTCTTACGAATTCGAATAGTATTTCAATATTTTGATCCAAGTGAACGGTTAAGTGCAAATGCACAAAGACGACGGTTTTTATGTGAACAAACGATGATAAGTTTATTTATGAAATTCCATTAATTTCTCATTAGCACCACGTATTTCCTCTGAAAATGGTGGTTTAAATGCACTTACCAACCACACGACCTGCTAAATTATCGTTGAAAAATATTTCATCAAATTCGAACGAATCTTTTTTTGCTAGGAATAATACAACCATTCCGAGGTCTCAATACCGTAAGCGCTTTTCATGAACCTTCAAGCACTTGATCTTCCTACAGCTAGATTACTTTGTTAATTAATTTTTCTCACATTCCACCTTTATGTTTTTTACATCTCTGCCAAAAAAATCTAATAAATTCCTAAAAATTCCCATTCATCTTTATGTTGGTAGTTACCCAATAGAACGGGAAACTATGTGTTGTTAGGCTGTCTCCTTCTTAAGTCAGCAATTTAAAAATACAGTCTGAACCCAACTACACTACTCCACCTCATACGTACAAAATATTGTCAAGAACGGTTCTCCAAGAATGGAAATGAGATGAGAGGAAGATTATAGGGTGGAAAGTGATGCCTTTAAATGCCTATAAGCAAAGAGAATTTAAAGGGAAATACAGATATTTATGATCGTAAACAACAACATATGTATCCTTGGTGAAGAAATGTGGGTAGCTCTGTATGTTTTCTGCGTATTTACATTGAAAATTTGTATGAATGGAGATGACGGAGCAGAGGAGGGGTTGTAGGATGAGGTGAGGGTGCACCGATTAGTAGAAACATACATATACATACACACGCATACATACACATACATATTGTTAGCCGTTCTTGTCAACCCTCTATCCTCAACAGTTTGGATTCATATACTGCCTTTTCATTCTTTCTTCTCAATCATTTATAAAATGTTTTCATTTATCTAGAGATTTATTCTATCAAAAATTCAATGAATTAGTTTAAAATATGCATTTAGTTATGCAAAGTATTCATTGACATTTATCAAATATGATGATATCGAATCGTAAAATGGACCATTGATCCATTTGTGCAGATATTTGTTTGAAAAGTTTACACAATTCCATTTCTGATGTCAGTCTGAACAGGATATTAACTTGAAAGATGAACAAAAAGAAGAAAAAAAGGTTGCAAAAATTTAAAAGGATTTTTTGAATATCAGTTTTCCACTTATTTTTCAAGTTACATTTTCCTCATCATTGATATTTGCAAGGTTTACATTTCCATTTTCATTTCTTATGTGATTCTTTTTTTGTTCTTTAACTCCATATTACTTTGACGTCATTCGATCATTTTGCTGGCCAAACTTAGATAGTGAAGACATTTCGACAACAGTTTATGGAGTGGGAGTGATAAAAATACATCTACTCATTTGTTTAGATGATGAATTAACAGCGTGACATTATGCTTCACAAAAATGAACTGTATTGAATCAGTTGTAGTACATTACTGATATTAATCGGTAACCGGTAGATCAATTCCCCACAATTCTCGTGGTCGGCGCACGTATGACGCTTTGCGATGAGTAAGGATTGTGGGATACAGCCAACAGTACAAGCCAACAGTACAACAGCTTCAATAGTAACAGTATCATTAATATCTGCTACAATTCCAACTGAAACGATAGCACTATGCGCATATATATTCGGAAATTGGCAGTCATTGTTTGCGTCACACTCTTTACCACAATCATTTTGCTGTCAGTGATGAGGAGAGACGAAAGTTCCGGTAAGATGACGATTACGTACAATAGGAAATGTTGCAAGAGCTTGCTGATACCTAGAAATCTGTTCTTTACAGCACTTTTTAGTTCATAATAAGTTGACTTAGTGAATAGGTTTTCATGCTTCAGGCATGAACTGATGGAAATAAATCTTCAAATATCATTATAAAGATTACTCGAGCCTTTTGCCACTCTTTCTGTATGACCGTGGTATCCAACTGATTTACTTGCAACACTTATCTAAATTCTAAAAATCCGAATTCCTCCATTGGAACTGTTATAATTAGAAATGAACGTATAAATTTCAATAGATACTTGCTGAAATTTGTTTCATAAGAAAACAATTGTTTCAGAATGGTTGAAAAGATGTCAAAAACTAAATTTCCCACGACCAATTCCTCATGCCGCTTATGTGCAAGAACAAAATATTTATAAGTTTATAACTGAAGACAGCGATATTTCTCGTTTTTTTGGTACATAGTTTCTCAGTCTCTTTTAGAAATTTTGCTCAATCAAAGCTTTCCTAAAAAAGGATTAAAAGGCCTGGAAAAAAAATTAGCGATGAAGTTCTTAAGTTTTTGATTTAAAATTTGTATCAGCGATATGAAAAATAAATTGTTGCTCAAAATAAATTAATTCGTACCTCCTGTCATAAATTATCATTTCAAAAAAAAATTCAGTACCACATATCAACTGGACATTGGCGAAACAGCTGGATCAATATTTATTTGATTTAAACATTTCGGAAATGATTCCAAATGAATGTCCAAACAACGAAACTTTGCGACAGTTTTGGAAGGACAAAATTGGGTAAATGATAAAGGCGATATTTGTAAATAGATGAAACTAAAACTAATTATTGTCTTTGAAATGAAAAATTGCTTCTTTTTTGTATCCCAAAAATGATTAATCAATTAATTTCCAGGAACTGGATAGTATTAATTACATTTCATTTATAGAAAAGTTGTACCGGAAAGAGATTCATGGGAGAAATTTTATGCAGATATTGGCAGCTGTGATGTATACAGAGATGAAGAAGTATGCATTAAGCTTTGATCACACTGTTATCACTGCGAAAACTGACAAAATGCTAACAAAATTTTTACCATTAATTTTTGAATATCCACAATTGTTTCGCGTCAAAAGAGTTCCGATATATGATGATAATGATTGATGACGCTACTTTTATCCATTCCTTTGATAACACATGGACGTTACCCGTTATCCAATGATAGCCGAAAGAAAGAATATGACCATATGGCATGAAGAGTGGGAGTGCAAGATCTTCCATACGAAGAATATTTATTCCGAGGAAGGAAACGGCTGAAAAGTAGCTATTTGCTCTTACTTTGATAACGTACAACAAATTCGGCGATTTTAACTTTTTTCTTGCTTCATTCTAAAAATAATTTTCATCGTTTTTCGTTCATATCTGCAGGTTGTAGAAAATTTGTTAAACGACCTCACCACATTGCCGTTGAAATCTGTGTCCATTATGGATGGTGGCACGCAAGTTAAACTTATCTTCACATTTGAAAATGACCAACAAGCGGTTTTCAAACCTATGCGGTATATTTCCCTCTTTTTATCGGTAATAGGATTTATTCGGAAAATGGAAGTTTTAGATTTTATTGCGCTTTCGACTATAAAGCGTAACTTGTTGAACATTATTATATATATATGACTTCTTAAATCATAAATTTAGATTTTAACTTACCAGTATGAATAGTTCTTATTGAAGTGAAACAGGGGAAAAAGATGGGGGAGGGAGGAGTGAAGGCACATCCCTGTTAAAGATTCAATTAAGCCTAAGATAAAATACAAAAAAACCAGTTGGATGAATCCATGACTAAAACTAGAACTGAGAAGGCTGAGTAGGTTTCAGTTCCACCCTACAATCAAAACTTTAAACAACAAAATTAAACAGAAATGGTTTGATCGCATCTATCATTAATGTCATGGAGAAATTTTACCCCGGATGTCACCATCACCTAAATAACCTTTGCACTGAATGAGTGATTAGTCATGGTCTTATTAAATTGAAATCTCTTTATTTAGCTTTTCCGTATATTCCCTCACATTTGTAACCATACTATAAGCTTAGGTAAGACATAATGTCGCTATGAATCAACCAATTCTTTTTAATACGAAACAAAAGCAAACAAATTCGATGCAAGAAAAAATTCTTAGGCATCTCTATAAGCCTAAACGTTTTTTAAATCTTTTTGTTTATATTGCCTAAATGGAATGTGATAAATTTCGGAATAAATTCAAAAAAGACAGAACGGAGGGAATTATTGAAGGCTGAGGAAGATTTACAACGACAAAGACTGGTGGTGGAAGAAATAATCAAGAAATATCCATAATTTCAGATTCGGTCGTGATTATGAATCCGACCCGAACCATTTTTACTTCAGCGATTTTGAACGTCATAACGCTGAAATTGCAACATTTCATATGGACAGGTATGTCATATTATTAAGAAGCTATTTTTTCTCCTCTTTCACTTTCTACCTCTCTCTCGCTCCATTTTCTTTCCATATGATTCCATTTCTACATTTAATTGATATGGCTCTCTTGAATTTAAATGGATTTTTTCATGAATTCGTATTTAGGATACTTGGCTTTCGGCGTGCTGTACCAACCGTTGGTCGTGTTGTCAATTTAACGTCCGATTTACGTGACAAGGCAGAAAAACGTTTAGCTAAAACATTTTTCATCTCGCCAGGTATGTCTTTTCATCAATTAATGTCATTCTCCTGTTGACACTGCAAAATTGCATTGGGTGGTCCTGCAATTTTTGCAGGTTATTACAAGTTGTAGATTATGCTAATTACTCAGTAATATCGTCATTCGAATTTTAAGCTTTCTGTAGTATTTTAATACTGGTCCTATAGAAAATTAGATCGCTAGTCTCGTACACACATTGTGGCATAAGATCCCATTGTGCCTTAATGATGAAGAGGTGATGATGATATGATGCAAAATTATGTTTCAAAACAATTTTTAAATTATTTTCTATCCACTTCAATTGCTGACATCATTTTCAGCCAAAAATTTGTGCTTTGTAAGCAAGTGCGATTATTATTGTGACACATCACATGCTATTTGTGGTACTCCTGATACTAGAGAAGGATCAGTGCAAGTATTTCTTCCAGATGAAAATAGTGTTCCAAGGAAGCATAACAGATCACCTTACAGAAGGTTAGAGATATTGTTGTTCTTTTTTCATAAAATTCTTCAGAACATTTTTAAACTTTTTTCAGCTGAAAAAAGATAACTTGAATTTGATTTTCAATTTAATTTATTATACACAAAATATTGTTCTTTTTCTCTATAAAATTTAAATTTGTAATTTTGTATAGAACATATTCGAAAAAGAACCAAATAGCTAAATGGCAACGAAATATGAACTATTGCCAAGAAAGCGTAAAAACAACAAGACGTTATGCTCATGGGCGCACGTTGCTTGATCTTGTTGATTTTCACGTGATGGATTATCTGATTGGTTGGTTTAACAAAGTTTACAGACTTGAATCACCCTAAAAAGCCAATGAGATTTTCAATTAAATCATTGATTACAGGGAATCAAGATCGACATCATTATGAAGCATTTTCCATTTTCCCCGATGCTCCATCGTATGCAATTCATTTAGATAACGGAAGGGCGTAAGTATTTACTTAACGCATTTCATTTAGTTCATATCGTTATCACCATATAATACCAAAGTTTTCTAGGGAACTTCTTTCCTGTTTAAAACAATTTTGTATATTACAGCTTTGGTAGAACGGATTTTGATGACGATGATATATTGCTACCTTTAAGACAATGTTGTGTCTTGAGATCTTCAACTTTCTTTACATTACTGAAATACTATCGTGAGCCTATCTCGCTAACAAAGGCGCTTCATCAGTGAGCTATTTTTTCACTTTCGTATTTTTCTCAAGTTTCACATTACAAAGGTTAACGATTTCACACTTATTTAAAGGTCGATGTCGAAAGATCCTTTGGCGCCGATATTGGCATATAAGCATTATCCCGCAGTGGAGAGGAGATTGCACAACGTAATGGTCTACATCGACAAGTGCATCCGTGAAAATCCTGAAGGTCCTGAAGGCGTCATAATGGCCGAATATCACAATAATGTTTGCTTTACTTCATGGTTTCATATATGAAGTTTTATTTTAAGCGAGCTTATTCGAAATTAAGAAGTTTATTCAAGTGGAGGGAACTGGTAAAGACTCTTTAAATCTTTAAGTTACAAATTGTTTGGAAGCTGAATCAACACTTTCAACAAATATGGAGTGGAAAGTGCGATGTAATTTCAAACATTCTTGTTCATTCGTTTTGTCTGAAGCAAACATCATAAAAAAGTTCAGCTGGAACAATTTTCTGATCTTTTTTTCATTACATTTTAGGAAGTGCCATTGGTTGGCGGCGAAGAGGCATGGGAGGATGTTGAAAGCAATAATAATAATGATAATAATGATAATAACAACAATAACAATAATAATAATAATAATAAGTAATAATAATAATAATAACTATATTTATATTGATAATAATAATATTTATATTGATAATAATAGTAATGATAATTACAACAACTGCTACAATAACAATAATAGCAGCGATAAAAAAAAATGGTGATGTCAGAAATAATAAGGAAAACAATAACGGCAAGAACAAAATCAATTTAAATGCTCAAAACAATCGACCGAACAACAGAAGTAAATTTGTTTCTGTTTATTTTTTTTCTTGTAATTAGAATATTGATTGTTTGAATTGTGAGAAGAAAATAATGTGATTGTTGAAGAAGCTCAATAAGTTATTTATTTTACTTTAGTGATGATCGTTTCATTAAATAGTCAGTATGATTGTATGTACAGTTCATATTGAACCTTACCTTTTTGTGTTCGGTAAGTTTCGAAATCTACAGCGATTTCTTCCAGTTTAGTTGCTTGCATCTGTTTTCTTGGAATTTAGCAAATTAACTTCAGAATGAGTGACTGAAAAATTGATAAATCAGCCTGCGATGACGCATTTTTTATTCTACTTGAAACTTGTGACTTTTTGAATTTTGGGGTTTTCAAATAAACTAAAACAATGGTAATTACCTTCAGAAGAAAATATTTTTTTCAGAAGAAGTTCGTACATATGCATTGCTTCTAATTACTTTTTGCGTTGCCTTATTTTTTTACAGTGCTTTTGGATCGATAATACATGGCGTTGTCCAAAGTTCGGAGTTGATTGTATGCTGATTTGTATTCATACTTTTCTGATTCTCTAATTTGTCAGTTCCAATTCCTTTTTGCTGGGAAACATACTTAATTTTGCTAATGAATTATCAAAATTATTTATACAACAAAAACGTAAGAAATTCTTGAATTCAAAATATATTCCATTATTTTGATTAAAATATATACCACCATTAATATGATTTCTGTGCACCAATACTCTAACATAAAAATTGCAATGTCAGCCAGTCAGAAATATCTGTTTCAATTTTTCATTTACTTGTTTCAACCTGTAAAAATGTTAAGCGTTCACTTTGTGTACCTTACATAATCTTTTCAAGACGATTACTGTGCCATTTCCCCTATTTATGAAATAGCCTTATGCCTTAACTCGCACTAAGTCAGTTGCTGGTTTTCTTGAAATTTTATTATCAATTTGTTGTTGGATGAACTGAATATTATATATATATGTGTATAGTACCATTAATATTAATTATTGGATTCTTGCAATTATTGCAGAATATCCTTTACTAATTGCTTTTCCAATATATTTATCCAGTGTAATATATTGTTCTCGCTATTATCATCGCTACCACAATCATTATTGTTATCAAGCAGGGCATATGATAATTTTAATAACAGTAAATGATATGTGGTGTGCAAAACTCTTTACGGGTGATTATAATATTTTTTTGGGTCTTCACTGTTTTAAAATATTTTGTTAATTGTGAAATTTCATTTTTTATCATTTAATAAATCTTAAGGACTGCTATAAACTGTGTATTCCAAGACTTCAAAAGAAATGTGCAGCAGGATGCTCCGGGTAAGCAACCCACAGAAGGTCATGAAAATCTTATTCCCTTGATCCGCATATCGTTTTCTGGATTTCTCCAATTCCATCCTGCATTCGATTTTCCGCACATTTTATCTAGCAATCTGATGGACTGACTTAATTTAAATAATTATGTAAATGCATGAAGCAGCTGACCATAATGAGACTGATTACTCGAAAAGTCGTTGAATTTAGCTTAAAAGACGCTCAAATTTCAAAAATATTTGATAGCAATAAGTATTTTCATCATACTATCATTTATCGAATCATGCATTATTAAATTATCGAAGGCAACTGACAGCATCAGGTATAAAAATCACGAAAGAATTTTTAATAAAAAAACGCGGTCTACAGGAAATGCCCTGCCCTACATATATAGGAAGTGCAATGGAAAAATAACATTAAGACCAAACTTCAATCTGCGAAAATCATTTTTGTCACAAAAAACAAAAAGCGTTCTTTCGCTTTCAAATTCAATAATCGTCACAAAAACAGCACAATTCATTCTTTCACTCTCTCTGTTTTCTAAAAAAGATGTGATCATAAAATGTTAAAATTCCTTGAGCTGTAACATTAATATCTATAAGTTTATTTAATCATGAAGGATAAAAGTTACATTAAAGCTAATTGAAACTTTTCTTATGAAAAGGTAATGAAGAGATACAGAGAATGCCTTGAAACTTCATGCTGCCATCAAGAGTAACCTTATTTATTGTTTATTTTTTCGCTTTTAATCCAATAAATTTCATTTTGGCCATACGAATAAAGGAATTTATTACAAAAAAATTAGACTGAAAAATTTTCTTCCTAATTTGCTAACTGAACATTTTCACATTTTTATAAATTTAAATTTCTCATTTCATCATTTAAAATTCTAACCGCTTCCGTCCTCACTATCTTTCGAGAAGTACGAGTGATTTTTTCACTCAATATTCCATATTTTTAAATTAAGTGGAAAATTAAAATACTATAAGGGCTACATATTGACAACAGCATAATACAATTCTAAACAGAGAGATCTGGCAGTGTGCTAAATTTGAGCTTTAACAATGCTTGCAATTCTTAGAGAGCAGTAGTTTTTATGATGAACAGAAACTACAACTGTTAGACTAATTATCTAATTATTGAATAAATACAGTTAGAAATTATAGCGATAATAATAGCAATTGCAAAATAGCAGCGGTTATTGCAGTGGAACTTGTTTTTAATATTATACTATTATTATATTTTTATTTATTTATTTATTTATTATTATTATTAATTATTAATTATCAAATTACTATAATTGTTAGTAGTAACAGTAGCAGTAGTAATAGTAGTAGTAGCAACAGTAATAGTAGCAGTAATTATTGACTTTGTTTATAATTATTATTACAATAGTAAGATTTTTTGAATATTTTGAATTAATTCTTTTATTATAAAATATATGAATATTATAAAATATGTGAATTGAATGCATCACTGATTCTAGCAAAGTAAATATTGACTCCAGAATGCCAGCTAAAATAAAAATGAAATTTTAAAGCGAATTCGAAGCAAAACGATAAATTAGAACATAACGAAAAATTCGATTTTATCTGCATGAATTATTCAAGATTTCCTAATTTGAACAGTGAAATTCCTCAAAAACATTCGGAATTGCAAGACTTTATCGGTCGAATTAAAAAATAGGAAATAGTTATAGTAAAAAATATGGACGATAATAATAATAATCATAATAATAATAATAATCATATTAAAATATAATAATAATGATAATAATAATAATAATGATAATAATAAGGTAATGATATTACAGTTGGCAAAGTTTGAAAAAAACCTAGCTTTTTTTTGAAATTGAAAGAAAAAATTCCGTTTTGAGATAAGTAAAATTGGAGAATTCCCGTTGGGAACCTTATAAATCATTAAGAGCAACGGAAGAGAAGCGACAATTTTGTTGTGGATTTTACGAATACTGCTTCTTCATCGGCAAAAACAAAAATATTTGTCTTGACGGAAAAGCTTTTTGTTGAAATAGCACGAAAACAGAAAAAAAAGGAAAAGAGCTGACCGAACAATTCTCTCTCCACTCGTGGAGAATGACAAGTTATAATTAAGTTTTATGCATAATTTTTTCAGAATCTGAGTTGAATTTTCAAAATGAACAGTCTTTTTGGTTATAGCAGCGGTAAAATGAACAAACCTCGTAATTTTTAAAATCATTTTAAATAATTAGGCGTTCAGTGTCCCAGCACCATGTTCAGCATCCCAGAATTGAGCGGACGAGCGATCGATATTATTGAAATCCTGGAGTATTGAGCATTAACAATCAGTTCGTTTATTTAAGAATAATGGTATTTCCATGAAAGGCATGGTTTGGACGAGTAATTTAAATTACTTCAGTCAGAAACTTGAGATTTTCCAATCGTTCCATGAGGGGAAACATATGCCCGTGAAATGTTTTCTTTATGACATCTTACAACTCGATTTCTTAATCACAATATCAATCTTGCGAAAAAAGATCAATACACTGGAAAATCTAAATCTTTAAACTTGGACCGAAGCAGAGAATTTGCATACTAAATTAGATTAAATGATCGAATTCAGTTCAAGTTCGTGAGAATTTTGTTTTTGAAGAATAACACTAGCTCATTAATTCATATAGAATCTTCACCTGCCATAAAGCAAGAATTAATTCACTGCTCATCAGTTCACCGGCATGAGTTGAGATCATTCGAAGCATAAATACACCATCTTTACGCAAAAACTGATGCGTAAATTTTCGGAGTGATACATCATCAGCTGTGGGCTTTGTTGGATGATCGCTTAATACTCGTAAATATTTGCGAATGAAAGACATTCCCTGTATGAAATTAAAGCAAAATTAATTCAAGTTTTAGGAATTTCAAGTCTTGAAATTTAAAAATAAAACAGGAATCATAACATAACCGAAGGACGAAATAAATCGATTAGTAAAATACTCTTTACCATAAAAAGAAGAGTTAGTAATAGAGGTAGTAATAGTAGGATTAACAGCAAATTTTCATACTGCTACGATTATAGAAAAATCGTTTTTTGGAATTTCTCATAGCTCCGCAATGTTGATCACAACTTAGAACTTGTCGAA